AAGTGAGAAAAGAGAGGAGCAGACAAGAGGGATTTAATTCCTTACTCAAAGCTGCAATCCCTTATTCTGACACCCAGCTGTACAACACACCCTGACTCATGGAGGGAACAAAAATCAGCACTAAAATGATGGACAGGAAAGTTTCAGCGCCTCCTCAGTTACAACACAGAAGTTCTGAAGTACCTGAGAACAGAGTCAGGAATCAGTGGCAGCAGCCATGGGAGTGAACACTGAACTGGGAAAAACTGAAAGGTTTCACATCTTTCAAAATTAAGTTTTCAGAAGAGCAAAGGAGAAGCATAAAGTGAGAAAAGAGAGGATTTAATTTCTTATTTAAAGCTGCAATCCCTTATTCTGACACCCAGCTGTACATCACACCCTGAGTCACAGAGGGAACAAAAATCACCACTAAAATGATGGACAGGAAAGTTTCAGCCCCTCCTCAGTTACAACATAGAAAGTTCTGGAGTACCTGAGAACAGTCAGGAATCAGTGGCAGCAGCCATGGGAGGGAACACTGAACTGGGAGAAACTGAAGGGTTTCACATCTTTCAAAATTAAGTTTTCAGAAGAACAAAGGAGAAGCACAAAGTGAGAAAAGAGACAAGCAGAAAACAGGGATTTAATTCCTTATTTAAAGCTGCAATCCCTTATTCTGACACACAGTAACACAGCACACCTTGAGTCAGGGAGGGAACAAAAATCAGCACTAAAATGATGGACAGGAAAGTTTCAGCCCTTCCTCAGTTACAACACAGAAAGTTCTGGATTACCTGAGAACATAGTCAGGAATCAGTGGCAGCAGCCAAGGGAGTGAACAATGAACTGGGACAAACTAAAAGGTTTCAAATCTTTTAAAATTAAGTTTTCAGAAGAGCAAAGGAGAAGCATAAAGTGATTCAGTGAGAAAAGAGAGGAGCAGACAAGAGGGATTTAATTCCTTACTCAAAGCTGCAATCCTTTTTTCTGACACCCAGCTGTACAACACACCCTGAGTCATGGAGGGAAAATAATAACCACTAAAATGATGGAAAGTTTTCAGCACCTCCTCAGTTACAACATAGAAAGTTCTGGATTACCTGAGAACAGAGTCAGGAATCAGTGGCAGCAGCCATGGGAGGGAACAATGAACTGGGAAAAACTGAAAGGTTTCACATCTTTCAAAATCAAGTTCTCAGAAGAACAAAGGAGGAGCATAAAGTGAGAAAAGAGAGGAGCAGACAAGAGGGATTTAATTCCTTATTTAAAGCTGCAATCCCTTATTCTGACACCCAGCTGTACAACACACCCTGAGTCATGGAGGGAATAAAAATCAGCACTAAAATGATGGACAGGAAAGTTTTCAGCCCCTCCTAAGTTACAACACAGAAAGTTCTGGAGTACCTGAGAACAGAGTCAGTGCAGCCAAGGGAGAATCCCCTGGGAAGCAGCAGCAGGGCAAGAACCCCTCAGTGTGGCTGCACCAGAGTGAGGAACCCTCTGAGCACACC